TATAACAAGCTACCCCCAAACCTAGTGTCATTAAGCCACAACCACTTGTGATTTCTCAAGAGTTTGGTGGCTGGTGGGGCAGGTGGGTCTTTTGATGTGGGCTGGACTTGACTGATCTCAGCTGGGCTCACTGATACAGCTGAGGTTAGCTGTAAGCCCGCTGATGGAGGGTGACCTCAACTAGGGCAGGTGAGCCCCCTGCATGTGCTCACTTATTCTCCAGAGGGCAGCCTGGGGTTGTTTTCATACCACAGTCAGGACTCCAAGAAAGAGCACCAGAGTCCAAGGCCCCTTGAGGTCCAGGCTTGGAAATACTTCCCAGCACAGTGATCACTTTGGACTTGCCAGTGCAGGTCTTGAGACCAGCCCAGACCTTGCTTCAGAGGAGAGGAGCTGCAAAGTGAAATTCCAATGGCTTAGATATGAAGGTAGTGGAATGGAGCCAACACACCACATGGCTTTACTTCTCTGAGACTCCATTTGCTCGTTTATAAAATGGGGATAATGTCATGAAATGCCCTGGTGTTCTGTGTTCTTTTAGAAGATGGTCAGTCATGTGCAGCCGCAACAGGGGACACAGGAGAGACTCAGGAACAGAAAGCTTGTTATACTCACAAGTCCTGGAGACAGAGTCCCTGTATGCTTAGAGTGGGTCGCAGAGTGTGAAGGCTGCCAGTTCAACCAAGCAGGCAGGGAGCTGAGAGAAAGCAAGGCCTGGGTCAAGTGGAGCTGGGGTGAGGACCCAGCCCAGGGCATGGGGGGATCTCACTGGTGTGCTTGAAGGTCACAAGGTCACAGTCAAGAGCAGGCAAGAAACTCAGGCCCCTTAACTTTGTTTTGGAAGCTAACCTTGTAAAATAAAAAAGGCAGAGAATTAGGGCAGCGCCTGTGGCTCAAAGGGGTGGGGCGCTGGCTCCATATGCCAGAGGTGGCGGATTCAGACCCAGACCCAAAGCCAAACACTGCAAAAAAAAAAAAAAAAAAAAAGGCAGAGGATTAGATTTGCCTCTGGAGAAGGCCATTCCTTTGATCTAAGAAACTATTTAGTTTCATTGGTAGCCTTTAGTCACCCAAACGTAAAGAGAATACAAGGTTGCTGAGGCCCTACCTCCCACCCGAGGAAGGACTATGAGCGAACCCCAGTGCAGAGGGGGTAAGTGCTCTGCTCGGTCTTCCTTCCTTCCTTCATTTGTTCTTTTAGTTATTCATTTATTCAGTGAGCTGTGAGGCATCGCATAAGAGAACAAAGGGCTGCATATAGTAGGAAATGAAAACTTCCTGGTTGCTGGAGGAGTAGCTGAGATAGCTTGTCTGGGGCACTTCCTTATAAACCATAGCGACAAGTTTTGCTCACCTCCCAGTGGGATGGAAAGCCATCTAAGGCTTTATCGTGGCCAGGTGTGTAGTTTTTAAAACCCTCTCATGCTGCTGTGTGGAGGGTGAATGGGTGTTTGGTGGACTATGCTGGAGGGAGGCCAATTAGAGATGACTTAGGACATGTTCCGAGCATCCAAGCCATAGGTCCTGTGGCCTGGGCCATCCCAGCAGCAGAGATGGAGAGAATTGGATGGACTGGGGCGATATTTGGGAGGTAGGGTTGGTGGGACTTGGGGCCTGGTGGGGATAAAGGGAGTTGGGGGTGGGGGCCAAGGGATTTGATGCCTGTTTCTGTCTTGGACGCTGCATGGGGGGAGCTATTTGCTGGGACAGGGAACACAGGAAGGCCAGTGAGTCAGGCTTCAGCTGCCTCAGCCTGGAGGGATGTTGGTGGAGGCAGCTGGCAGACAGGAGAGAGGCCACCTCTGAAAGTATAGGCTGGGAAGTCAGCAGCTCAGGGATGAAGACCAAAGCCATGGGAGGAGAGTGCCGGGTGTGGCTGAGCCACAGCAGGTCTCTGAGCAGTGCTGGGGGCTCATGGTTCATTCTCTGCCAGGCTTTGGACCATTTGGTGCCTGTAAACAGTTGTTGATTCCTTTGGACAGATGAACTGGGGGTGTGTGTGTGTGTGTGTTTGAGCGTGTGAGTATGTGTTGGTGAGGCGGGTAGCATGCTCAGTAGCCGACTGACACCTGACTTCTGGAAGGACCTGCAGTCATGACCCGCGCTTGTTACCAAGTTACCTGTCTCCCCATTAGAAAGAGCAGAGGCTTCCCCTTGCTCTTAGGGTAATGATGGAAAGTCCGCAGTGTTGCGTGTCACCCTGCGTGGTTTCCCACTGTGCTCACCCTGCATTCCGGCTTCTGTCTCACCAGCCTTTCTTCAGTCCTTTATTATTGGCCCCATTCCTCTTGTCACGGGACCCTTGTACATGTTTCTTTCTCTGTCTGGGACAGTCCCTCACCACTCCCCAGACCCTCATCTACTTAACTCCTACCCTTCCTCCCTGACCTCTGACTGAGGCAACTCTCCCGTCATGGTCTCCCAACCAGCCATTTGCATCTCCTCAAGACATTCATCACATTTATTTGTCATTATTTGATCAATATGGCTTCCTCACTAACCTGAAAGCTCCACGAGGCAGACACTTTGTCTGTATTAAGCCCTGGTTATTCCCCGTGCTTAGCGCAGTGCCTGGCACAAAGTTGAGATTCAGTAAACATTTGGTGAGTAAAAAGAGCAAACAAAGGAGAAACTACAGAGGTGACCCAGCCTGAGCTTGCAGCTTGGTGTGGGTTCCCGGCACACTGAGCCAGCTGCAGGGGGCTGTCGAGAATGAGCGCTTCAGGGTACACCAAGGTGGGTGCATGGAGGCTGGTGGACACGTTGGCATACCTAGGGCTGGGATGGGGGGATTGATTCCCCAAACAAGAACCGCTCCCCTCAGTCTGAGGAGGTGGCTCCTGTGACAGGAAATGAGGAGGGAGCTGGGCCGGGCACTGCCAGGGAGGACCCCCTCTCCTTGTCTGTCCCCTCATTTCATTTCTCACCATCCCCACATGCCCTTCCTGTTTGCTGAGGGCAGAACTCCCTTACTAGGGAGCTAGCTCCAAGTCAGCCAGGCTTGGCTGTTGATAAGCACTTCAACTTAAATGAAAAAACTTAAAAAATCATTTCTGTTTCTCAATTCTATTTTCATAGCTCTTGTCTTCCTAAAGAGGTTCAGGAAGTGAGCTCTGAGATTCACTTTGCAGGGGTGCCCAGGCTTCCCCCCTCCCGCCACCACACCTTGGAAGAATAAGAGTCGTCTTGGGTCACACATTAAATACACAAACATTAACAAAAACTGATTAGCAGAAAAGAAGAGGTCTGTGCACACATGCACATATCTGACACCACAGATAAATAGAACAGTCCTTACTAAATCAGCACATGGCCCATGGGTCCCAGGTTGGACACCCCTGTTATAGATGTTATCTTTGTTGCAGGCACTGCCTACCCTTTCCTTCCTTTGGGCAAAAAACTTTTTGGGATATAAGAAATAGGCAAAAAGATTTAAGAAGGGAGGGGACACTGAGAAGACACGGTAGTGACATATTTGCAAAATACAGTAGAAACTCCGTAGTTGACCCCCTCCCTACACTGACCATGTCCTTAAGTTGCCCTGGTTTTCACAGACTGGACATTCACCACATGTACGGATCGGTAGAGTAGGCTTAGTCCTTATCTTGACCACTTCTGTATGTTGACCAGTTTCCTACAGTCCCTTGTGTGGTCAACATACAGAGGTTCTATTGTATGTAATTAATCCCAGAACCACCAGTAAGTTTAAACTGTCTTCCTTCCTCTCTGACATACCACCCCCATCCCATGTACCAGAGAAAAGCACATTATTCTAGAGGCTTCTGCCAAACTAAAATAACCAGCTTGCAAGGCCCTCCTTTCCCCTTAAGGGCCAAAGCTCTTCTGTCCCCTGCAGTGCTGATGCTTGGGCTGGGTTGGACAGCTGCAGCCTCTGGAAGTACACACAGGGTTCTGGGTGGTTGGATGAGATCTTGAGGGCAAGAGCCCTGAGCCATCCCAATGGGAGATGCCCAGGCCCAAGGCACTGAGCAGGGGCCAGAAATTTTAGCTACTTCACCTCTGTTCCGTCTCCTCCTCCCTGGGTTCTAACCTTGGCCCTGCTATTACAAGTGACTTTGGGCACTTTTCCCAGTGCTCTGAGTTTGAGCTTTTATTTATTTATTTTTTTGAGACAAAGTCTCACTTTGTCGCACTTGGTAGAGTGCTGTGGTGTCACAGCTCACAGCAACCTCAAACTCTTGGGCTTAAGCTATTCTCTTGCCTCAGCCTCCCAAGTGCCCTCCACAACACCCGGCTATTTTTATTTTTTGGTTGTATCTGTCATTATTGTTTGGCAGGCCTGGGGTGGATTCGAACTTGCCAGCTTTGGTGTATGTGGCTGGCACCCTAGCCTCAGAGCTACAGGCCCTGAGCCAAGTCTGAGCTTCTTCATTGGTCAAGAGGGAATGATGATACCAAGAAGTCACAACACCTGGGCAGAGAGAGAGAGAGATCGTGCGATCCCACTCAGAGAGTACATATCCATGACAGGAGTGATGGGAGGCTGTCTCTCAGGATGAACTCCTTCACCTTCGTGGCTTAGTTCAGTCATTCATTCAACAGATATTTACTGAACCCCTACAGGGACGGCTCAAAAAGACGAAAGTTCCATTTTTGGAACTTACATCCTAATGAGAACTAGTTTTTAGGCTTAAAGGCATGATCATATTTATTATGCAGTGTGGTACCAACTGCCAAAGCCAACCTCTTAATTTGCTGGGCAGCCAAAAATACGGTGAGCATCTCCAATGCTGGATGGAGAATGCGCCATGAGAGATGCTATGTCTGAATGGTTGAAGAGAGACATCAAGGCTAACTTTGACTACAGGTGACCCTCACCTTCTGCATTGCATCATCCACCCCCACTCTCCCTCAGCTATAAATTGGGATCCCCTGTCCCTATGTGCATGGCCATGAGAGAATTTGATGCAATGCTCTGTGCCCCAGGTGGGCGTATCAGGAAGGGGTGGGAGGTACTAACGCCATGATGCTCAGCCATAGCCTGTGATGGTGCTAGGTAGCACTTTGAACTTTATTAATGACCTTCCCCTGAGGCTGCTCAGCTGTTTCCAGGGAACCCCACAAAGAGCCTTTGCCTTCCCATGTGTGAGCCGGCAGACACCTCGGGGCAGAGTGCGGAGAGGGCTTCCAGGTCAGATGCTGCACTCCACACCTGCGTCCTCTTCGTGGACACAGTTGTGAGAGCCCCAGCTATTCTTCCTGCAGCTCCACAGGGTACTCTCTGTCCCCTGACACGCAACATCATCCAGCCAGATCTGCCCAGTGCCTGGAGAGAGAGGTGAGAATGAAAGCAAAGCAGCCGCATTTGTGCTTCCATTGGGGTAGACGCCAAATTCAGGCCCAACATGCTGATGGTTAGTCTGGTCTTTTATAATGACTCTGCCTCTCTCCCATTCTCTACCCTTTGACAAAAGTCTTATGCAAATATTTAATATTTAATTCCCACACGATTTGACCCAGAATCTGCTCTTCCCTGCAGCTGCGTGCACCTTCCTTGCGTGCCTCTCCCATGCCGCTCCCTGCTTTGAAGCAGACATACCTCTCCCCAGCTCCTGCCTTCTGATGCACTTGAAAAGAGTTGGATTATTTCATTACAGTCATTTACACGACAATATGGCTTAACCTACAGAAGCTTAATCGACATGAGGAAAAAATATATTTTGAAGGATTTATAGTCCAACTGGACTCAGACGAAAAAGCTAGTCTTCGCTTTGGGATAGGGTAAGGGCAGTGAGCCTTTGAGGTTAGACTAGGGTGACCAGACGTCCCACTTTTCAACAATTTGTCCTGCATCCTGCGGCGTTTTAAAAAAGTCCTGATTTTTGGAAAGAATGCACAAACAGGCGGGAGAACAAGAAGGGAATATACGGTTTTCGGCTGCCATGTGGTGGTTTTGCCAGAATATGAGTTTTATATTATTTTTGTTAATTTTATAATGTTAAACTGTAATAATAACAAATAATTGCTGAGAAGTGATTATCGAGAACTGCTTATCAAAGTTTGCACTATTGTTAGGCCCTGCCCTGTCCCTTCCCCTGCCCCTCCCCGCCCTGCCCCCCCCATGTTGTCCCCCCTTACCGATGTTAAAATCTGGTCACCCTAGGTTAGAAGCAGGGGAAACAGATCCCCTGCTGAGCCAGCTTTTATGGCTAAAGAAAAGGGCTCAGCCCCAAGGACTTACTCCTTCACTGGAGGTTTGAAACTTTGGCTGAAAAACACAAGCCGAGTAATGGCACTCCAGGGCACCTTCACCAGACCGATTTTAGTAGATCCCTGCTCTGACTTGTTTTCTCTTCCCTTTTCACCTTTTTAAAGATGATTGTAGCCGAGAGTGCTGGATAATCCGGCTGCTGGTTTACAGACAGCTGGAGAGAAGTCTGGGTTTGCCTGCCCTGTGCCTTCTTCCCATTCTTCAGTTCCAGCAGCCCAGCTACACCCTCTCACCCCTCCCCCAACCGCCAAACACCCTTGCTGTGCGGCATTCTGACTCCAAGATGGGGCCGACCTTGGCCCAAGCCGGCCAGCCAGCACCCCAGGAGACCTTCAGTCTCCCTGCTGGAGAGGATGGCCACCTTTCTGCTGGAGTTGACAAACTGAGAGCATATAAGCCTGGGGCCCTGAGCTGCTGAACTTTTGGATGCTTAAACCAATACTTTTCTTTTAACCCAAACCACACTGAGTCACTTCCAACCAAAGAGTGTCAGAGAGAATGCCACTTCAGCAGCTCAGATCAAGAGGTGCCTGGCTGATGATCTACTTACCAGCTCCCTGTCTGGTAATAGCTCTTCCCCTGGAGTAACCCAGCATGCGGCAGAAGACAGTGGCATCTAGATTATCCCAGCCATCATCACAAATTGTCCCCCAGGTGCTGTTATAGTAAACTTCAGCCCGGCCTCGAACACTACCGCCGACAATCCTGACGGAGACCGGGGATTCACCTGGGTGGAAAAACCCATGTAGGGAGGCCAGGACAGCACTGGAGGCCTCATGCAATGCAGACTCTAGCTTTCCATTTGGGGCACACACATAGCTATGGAAAAGAAACCCCTCTGCTTGGCTGTCACTGGAGCCTGGAACGTCCCACTTTATGACACCAACACAACCTAGAATGTAGCCTCGGTGCACCTGAGCCTGTGGGCACCAGGCTATCGCAGCAGGTGTCTCTGTGGCCAGTTTGCAAGTCCTGTAGACCATGTCTGTCACATCTCATGGACAGAAAAAAGAGAAGCTGAGCAAAAGGAAGGAAGGAAAGAATGGAGGGGGAGAAGGAGGATGGAGGGAAGGAGGGAAAAGAGAAAAGAAGGAAGGAGGGAGGGAAACTGCCGTGCTGTGCCTGTGTGCAGGCTTATTCAAGGGATGAGTCCATCAGCTTTTCCCCCAAAGAAGGAATTTCTCTGAGAACTCCCTAACACACACACAAATTTCAAGTACAGGATTGACTCTAAAGCACAGATTAAAGGCAACAGGAACAGCAATTACCTTTTTCACCTTTTTCTCCCTTTACTCCTTGCAGTCCAGGAGATCCTGTCATGAGAAAAAAACCCACACAGTTTGAAGGAAACTCCACCAAGATTTCTTGCTCTCATTTGCCAGGTTTGGGGAGTGGGAGGAGGCATGAGGGGGGGAGGTCTGCAAGATACCTGCAGCCTCACCTGTGACCTGTCATCGTGGGGACTGGGTGTGCCATGGGTAGCAACAGTTTAGCAAGGAGAAATGGGCCTAAGGTACATCGGGAAGGATTGAGGTTAGATTGGTGAGGATGTTGGACAGGTAAGAGGTGTGAAAACTATCGGGGCATGGATGGGCGTGGCTCATGTGCAGATTACACACCTGCCTTTCAGTGCCCAGGGTTGTACCTTATTCACTGCTGTGTGCAATCCCCAGCACAAGACATGTCAACTGAGTAGTAAACTTCCATTCTCCTGGGTCCTGAAAACCTTCAAACCTCTTAAAACAGCACCCTTCCTAAGAACCCACAGATCAGAAATGGAGGCTTACCTTTCAGTCCTGGGTTTCCTTTTTGGCCAGCTGGTCCAGGTGCTCCCATGGGCCCTGCCAGCCCAGGCTGTCCCCGTTCTCCCTTCGTGCCTGCAAGGCCTGAGAGGAGGAAGACCATCCCTTTGGGATGCCTGACCCTGCTTCCCCAAGGGCAACCTAAAAGCCTTGGCGTTCAATGAGTGAGTCATCCTTAACCACCATGTCTCCTTGGTGAATGAGTGGTGTGAATGTTCAGCCTATGTCATTGGTCCATCTGGGGCTGCTCTGATTGCCAACCCCCCACCTAGTGCTGTTGAGAACATGCAGGTAGAAGAAACTGGCAGGTTCCCACAGGTGGCTGGTCCTTCTGAGATTATGTAATTGAATGGAAGTTGTAGCCAATTTGAGAATTTGCTAGAATGTGTCTAAGCCTTAAAATCTTCATTAGTAAATTAGAATAATAATAGAATATCCAGCTCATGAGGAAGCAAAGGTGCTCAAGGAATTTGTCTGAGAAATTTTGCTTTAGCATCTGAAAGGGTAGGGCTGTTGGGAAGACCAGAGACGCTGTGCAGCCTCTGCTGAGCTCTGCAGGGCAGGGGCTGGGGCCAGGAAGAACAGGAAAGTAGACCACAGCAGAGACATGAGGGGATGACCTGGGGCTGGAGAGGATGGTTGCACAGCTGCATAGCAGCGGCACAGGCCAAGGCTGTTACCCCTTGAGTCTCTGCCCCACAGCCTATATGCCTCAGGACCCCAAATTCCCATCATCCCCCTAGGTCATCCAGGGAAGAAATCAAGGCTTGTGTGACAGAGCCCTGGAGTCTAAGCCTGAATTTTGGGGGGAGGTCACAGCTATGTAATCAAAGTCAACAAGACCTACCCTCCAAGCAGGCAGGCCTCCCTGTCAGGGTGCTGGGAGAGTCAAACAAAGCCAGCCCTTTCTTTACCTGGTACTCCCGGTTCTCCTTTTGTTCCTTTCTGTCCTTGAAATCCTAAGATCAAAACAAAAAGGGGGGGAGGAGATAATAAAACTCAGATATCAGACACTTTTAATCTAAGACAACCTCTACCTTTTGTCTGATTAATGCAGATGGAAAGATACACTGGTTCTCTGCGACTGCTGCATAAAAGGAGAAGACAGTCCACAGACCAAAGGAGGTGGGAGCGTCAGGGTGGAACAGCAGCGTGCTGGGCAAGCGCCCAGTTAGATAGACCCCAGACTCATGGGCTCACCCTGTCCACCAATAACTCAACTTGGTGTCTAACTTTAGTTCCCTTCTTTGCAGTCACATTTTATTGGAAGGGAATTGAGAAATATTTTGAGAATAAAATTATCTTGAATTCCAAAGGAATGGGAAGGGGACTCAGTGGCCACTGGGAGCTTTGGGGGTTCTCACACATAGTAGATGCTCCATAAATGTTTGTTGGTTTATTTCATTCGGCGTCAGTGTGGCTGAAGATTCAGGTGGCTAACGGGTCTCATGACCAGAAGATGAAAACTGCAACCATTGGTGACAATCCTATCTGCACTGAATGTGAAGCGTCCTCCCTCCCTCTTCCCTTCTTCCCTCTTTCCTCCTTTACTTCCTTCTTTCCAGTCACTCATCCCTTTTATTCAGTAAACCTTCATGCAAGACCCACTGTCCCCAGCACCCAGCTGGGTCACTGTGCGATAATAACTTGTTCATTTAGCAATATCATGGTATTCATATTTTGATTTTAAGGGCCAATGTTGATTTTATTTCAGAGAAATAGGACTCCCCAGATAGTTACATGAACCTGGGGAAAATACAAGCTCAGTATTGACTACCAAGTGACAGTACCTGGAAGGTGATGACAGAATGCGGGCAGCACCTCATGAGCATCTGTGCTCATGGCCAGGCCCTTGATTTATTTCTCTTCCAAGACACAAGCCTGGCCTTAGCCAAATGTCTCGTGAGCCCATGATGATCACAGAGACTGCACTGAGTTGGGTCATCCTCACTGCAGTCACCCGGGGGAAATTCCTTCCTGCCTCCCACTTCAACCCCTGGATTTCCTGAGCACCTTTTCAGGGCCCTTTCTTGGGATCATGACCAAGAGAAGTTGTAACTTCCTGCAGCATTCCAGATGACCTATGGGGGCCTGGTACCATCTGTGGGGGCAGGGCCAGACAGCCGAGAAGCTAAGAGAAGCAGAAGATTCTTACAGGACAGTGGGGCAGTTTTTTATAAGTGATAATTTAGTACTTTGGCTTGGTAGAATTTAATACATTCTCAGACTGCCTCAGTACTTGGATATGAGGAATGGAATTAACTGGGAAATTCTTGTCATGATATAAGGCTTAATTGCTATTATGGATTATCTTTGTTGCTTATCTTTAAATAAAACATCTTTGAATACAGTTGAGAAAATAGATTTCAAGTTGTTTGTATTTTGGTTTGTCCCAAGAAGAAAATAAAAGGACATAGAGAATTCAAAGTGTTATAGTTTAGACATAACAGCCAATGCGATAAAATAATTTCCAACCAGCTTGGTAGTTTGGAGTTTAAATGTTTAGGCCGCGTCTAACATCGCTGTCATTTCATGAGGAAGAAATGGTAAAAAGAGATATGCTATGATTACAGGTTGAAGTAGAGTCCTTACCTCCAGATAAATGTTACTTTTCAAAGTAGCTAAGGGATGAAGAGCTATATTTTGATTATTCATTTGCAATTTTTGAAAGAGAAAAAGTTAGAAAAACTACGTCTTGGGGCTTGGACAAGAGCCTGTTTCTAATTGGTGAAGGAAATTACCCCTGGAGAAAGCTCTACACTACCGATTCGATCTTTTTAATCCCATGGCACACCTGAACCTGTAGTTAAACTTCTGTGACACATTTAAATTATATTCAACAAAGAGTAAATAAAAAGAATATATTGACTGTGCTTGAAACTTCTTTCAAAAATAAATTTAATTAATGATAACTGAAAATTTTCACGGCACACCTAAAATCATCTCATGGCACACTGGTTGAAAATCACTGCTCTATGGGGTATAATGACCTACTTAGTAAAATGTAGAGTTTATCTTTTTAGCAGAATGGAAGAAATTTTCTTTTTGCCTTCTTGAATATGAGATGGACTCTCTCCCTGAAGAAGTGCAAACAAGGGGAAGCATTTCACCTAAATGGGCTGGAGTGGGGTCAGTGACTACTGTGGAGGTAGGAGGGCCTGATGACCAAGTCAGGGTTTACAAGTCTATCATGGGGTAAGAGGTGAGGGAGGAAGAAGAGCAAGTCTGATTTTCTATTGAGTCGCACACTCCAGGTTCTTCTATACAACAAAATTTGGAAAAGCCCAGCTTTGGACTCAGATTTGGAAGTTAACTTCCAGATTCAGTGTATACTACCTGTGAGACTGTGGACAAAGGGTTTAACCCCTCAGAACTGTTGTTTTCTTGGTTGTAAAGTAGGGATGATAAAACTCAGCTGTGTGGGTGAATGAACTAAGATCCTGGGTCAAGTCTCAAGCACAGTTCCTGGCCCAGAGGCACTGGTGATAGAAAAAGGATCTCTTATGTCTTATAATTAATGCACCATAATGAAATCTAGCTGTTACCTAGGTCAAGCCAATGCACTATAATGTTTCTGTTTTCATCTATCATAGTTATTCTCTTGAGAGATTAATGATTTTATTTACAAAAAAGGAAAACACATCAGTTTGAAAACCTGGTTTGATATATCAAATCTGGACAATCACCACAGCAGCTTTAGTTTGGGGAATACCAGCACCCTGACGTTGACAAGTCCGCATTGTCTTCCACGATGGGAAGATCTGGCTCCCCCCCACCACCACCACTGCACACTCTACCTATCTCACTTCAGAAATTATAAAATCTAATCTCTCTGGCAGTTCATTAGCCCATGACTCCAGGATGACATATAAGATTGGCCAGATTATGGCCCCATTGGAATTCCCCTCTGAGATGTCTGCATGGGCTATCAGCTACTGCGCTGAGGCAAACACTTGGACTTGGTTTAGCAACCTAAGCAGTTTTGGATAAATAGTAATTATCACATGCCCCAAATTGAAAGTGTCATTTACTCGGGCAGCCAGCATTAAGGGGTAACCCCTAGAATTTGTGAATACTGATTAATGGAGAACCTCATAAAAGTGCTCAATAGATACACATTGAGGATGGAGTTAAATTGACCCTTACATCTTGGCCAAGGGTCTCTGCGCTAAAGTGGGTGTGGGGTCTTGGGTAAATAACTAGGTGCTACTACTACAGGGCCCGAGAGCTTCTTGTTTTCTCCTAAGAGTAGAAGAAACTGATGCCTTCTACTTTGACTTGCTAAACTGGGATGGAGGGAGAAGGTGTCACTCGGCAGGGTTCCCTGATGAGGGTACCTGGGGAGGAAGACCCCAGGATAGAGTGCAGTAAACAAGACCCTAAGCCCTGGGTCAGCTGGGCCTAGATTCAAACACTCACTGTTTGACTTTTGGCAACTTACTGTAAAATAGCACTAGCAGGAGTGTGTGTCTCATTGGACTGACATGGGCTGCCTGAGACCTGTAGCAGCTCTTCTTATGCAACCCCCCCTCCCCCCCAGCACACAGAGTGCAGGACAAGACTTCCTACTCTCAGTCTGCCAAAAGACAGGCTTTGGACCCTGAGAGTATGTGTAGTGCCCCTGGGGGTAAAAATTCATATTTTACCCTCTGTACTCTTGCTTAGTCAGGAACCATTAGTTTGGCAATAGGGGTGGGGACAGAGGGCAGCTGCTATTTGTAAATGAGGGCTGAAAGCAAGGAGGTCCATGAAACCAAGCAGAAAAGTCAGGAACAAGAAAACTTCAGGCACCAAAGTCAGAAGCACCCTAAGTTCAGGAATTGGAAAAGATGGAATTATAAGATCAGGAAGTGCAGCAAAAAGTCAGGGATATCTGACACCATACCTCAATGTCTCAATGGGAACTCAATGGAGACTCAGTGGAGTCTCAATGGAGACTCAGTGGAGACTTTCCCATGATAAGATCTTGCTGGCGGCCTTCAGGTGGTATTTATATGGGATTGGGTAGCAGGGACCCACCTATACTTATATGCAATCTATGAAAATGAAAATGGCTCTGAGGTTGGATGAGTTAGAAGGACAGAAACAGGGAAAGAACTGCCCTTGCTGTGGCTCCCAACTATCTTCAGGAAAACCCCAAGGCCCAGTGTGCAGGATTCCAAGAGGTAGTGATGAGTGAACAAATGAATCATTTAGAATTGTGAAGGACCAGCCTGGTGTGGGTCTGTAGCATGGCCCAGGGAGAGGCATCCAGGTGGCCTGATATAAGCATGACCTTCCGCTTAGACAGAGGAGGGGGAGAGGCCAGGTGTCCACAGCCATCCTTGGCAGACACATAGCCGTATGTCATGACCTCCACCACCACCATCACCCCCGCCCCACACCTCTGCCTGCTCCTGGCTTTCCAAATGGCACACAGCAGTTCTCCATGCAGTGTACCTGCGTTGCCAGGCAACAGCCTCTCTGTCCCCTGCACCACCCTGTGTGTCTGAGGCCATCTTAGCATTTAACACAGTGACCTGAACTTTTTGGACTAACTGGTGCCATGGTTTAGGAAGCAGACTATATTGATACAAGGGCTTGTAACCTAGACTAAATCAGCATGATGGTGTGTTATCTAACTAGGTTGGCAGGATGGTTTATAAAACAGTCTTGTGAGTTTGGTTGGTGTGGACCAGTGCTGCCAGCTGTACCCCTAGGACAATGCACTAGAAGGGGTTTCTCCACCCTCCAGCCCAAAGAGATTCCGGCAGGGAGACTGCCTCCATCATTAGGGAACCCAGACACTCTCTACCTCCTCTGTGGGCCTGCTGGGAGGCAGTTCTCTTCCCTGTGCCTCCTGCCACCCAGTGATCCCAACCACCCACCTTCCCATACCCTCTGTTACCTGGGTTGCCCTTGTCTCCTTTCATGCCCGAGACTCCTGGACTCCCTGGAATCCCCGGCAGTCCTTGACAACAGACATCACACAGGGCATGAGGGCTGGGCAGGGTAGGTCTTTAGACATCACTCCCCATGCCCACTGCAGGAGCTGGGACCTCACCTGTCAGCCCGCGGAGGCCAGTGCTGCCAGGCTCACCCTTGGCACCTGGGGGTCCTGATGCACCAGGAAGGCCTGGAACACCCTGTGCTCCTGGTTGTCCTGAAAGGTAAGTGGTGACCACAGGGTGGGGGTGCTCAGCAGAGGGCCTGACATGAATCCTCTAACACCTGATAGTCCCCTTGGCAGCTCTTACCTGCTTTCTTTAGAAGCCATGACCTAGCCCCATGAGTGGGAGGAAAATTAGTCTCAGTGACTTATGCATCCCTACTGCAGGGTCTGGGACTTGGGGACTTTTTAGGAACTCTGAGTGTAAATGTCCAGCTGCACGCCCAGGACAGTGAAGTGGGGTGAAGGTCTAAAGAAGAACATCAGTTAAGCTCTCCCCCTGCCGGCCACTCTGTTTCTCTTAGGAGGGACCAGGATTTTAAGAAGTTTCAGGTATTGTGAGTTAATATATAATGAAATAAAAAATGGTGGAGTCAGGTCCCCACCTTAACTCTGCTAGGGGACAGTGGTAGCTGGAATGATGCCCAGATTCCCACAGTTCTTACCTTGATCTCCTTTGACTCCAGGAGAACCAAGCAAACCTAAAATGAAGAAGAACCTTTAGGAATTTTTTCTCCCTTGGGCTCAGCCTACCTGAAGGAAAGGAAATACCTCCAGGTCATTGGATGTGACCATGCAGCCTCTTACCTGGCGGGCCTGGCTTCCCTGAGTCACCTTTACTCCCCTGGGCTCCAGGGGGGCCCATGACTCCTCTGTCTCCTTTCATGCCCACATCCCCTTTGTTTCCTAGAAAACCAAGAGTCCAGGTCAGGGATGAAAGGAGGGCAAACCCAGCTAGTGAGTCCCACTCAGCCACTTCCCAACATTCTGAAATTGCAAACCCAGCATTCCTTGAGCTCTTACTTGGGGCCCTGAAGGAGCACACTGCCTTGCCCCAGAGACAAGATCTAAAGTCATGGGAAGTTGGTGGCAAGGTGACCTGGCATAGCCCTGGTTCCCTCAGGAGGGCCCACAACTCAGACTCAACTAGCACTATCTGGCTCATTTTAGTGTCTGCATTTTGGAAATTTAAAGCCTTTCAAACCTGAATATTCCAGAAAGCAGATCTTCAATGTTGAGAATAGCAACTTTGAGGCATTGATAGAGAGAAAATGATCACAGTGGCTCATGTTTCTGCCACCAGTTCAGATACAGGCTTTCTTGGTACCCAGGATTTCAAATCTTCCACTTGTTATCAGCATTTGGGGCGCGTCTTACCCTGTCTTCTCCTGAGTCCTCTGTCTCCCCCCCCCCCTCCTTTCCTGCAAGTGTCCAATGCATATCAATCAAGGGAGGCTCCTTGCAGGGCCCAGGCTCTGTGACTTCTTTCCATCAGGCAGTAGCTGCAAGGGGCTCACAAGCCTCACCAAGCAGGCCTCACTTCTCAGCAGTTCTGTGTCGGCCATGACTCAGAAGGCTGCTGAAGTGTGAATGCTCCATTCCACGCCCAAGGAGCATTGTGGAGGGGAGGTCTAAAGAATATCTCAGCCCAGAGCAACCTTGTAGGCTATCAAATAGGCTTGATGGGATGGAGTTTTGTTAAAGGCATTTATTGCCCCATCTATGATATTGGCAATTTTGAAGCTGGAGAGGCCTGCCGCCAGCCTTCTCTCCAGTGAATTAGGAAAGGCGATGGAGGAGAGGCAGAAGGAAGCCATTCTGGGTCTGTGCGCTGAGTGAAGTTAGGTTCAGGGCTTGGAGATTCATCTTGGAGATGAATGGCTTTTGGGAGAATGACTCTTGCTTGATGAAAACCAAGCAATCGTAAGTAACTTTGTTACAAATGAGGTCTCTTTTAACAGCAGAAGGTTCAAACAGCAGGCAAGGCCATTCTTGGCCATTCTTGGCCATTCGGACTTTCCACTTTGGAGAGGGGTCCCATGGCAGCTGTTAGAAGGCACTGGGAATTGTTTCCCTGGAGGAATTTGCCCAGGACCATCAAGCAACAGGCAGTTCCTCAGTCGTGCGAGGTTACTTCAGAGTAGTCTGGTGCTTCTGCATTGCTGTAACTTCTATGTCCCCATAGAAAGGGACGACTTGGGGAAGTAGGGCAATATCACATCAGTGTGAGGACCAGACGCTGGCTGCCACTGAGGAAGCATAGCTGCTTATTTCTTCAAAACTTTCTAACCCTGGCTAAGTGGTGCAGAGAGGAGACTGGGCCTGTCCAGGAACTCTGTCATGTGGCTTCACTGATTTGCTGGAGGGAGGAGCACCTCTGGGGTCAGGTCTCACCTGCCAGCAAGAGAGACCTCATGCTCTTGGGAGAGGAAATTTGGGAAGAGGAAGGGTAGGAGGGAGTTCCAATTTCAGAGGAACTGACCACAGCGTCTCCAGGCCTGAGTCTGGGTGGATCCATACGCTCCTTGTGGCAGTGTGCGAGCATGGGATGGGAAATGGTGTGGCTCAGACCCAGTGGGCAAAGGCCTGGCTCTGGCCCCTTCTCTGGGGCTGGCAGGGGCACCTTGAGAAAGTCCAGGTCTCCCTTTCCCTTCTACAGAGAGAGCAGTGGAGCACGGGCTTTGGAACTATCCTCACAAGTCAACTGCCCAACCATCTGTCTGGTACAAAGATCCCCCCCATCCCTGCCAAAGAGGATTCTGCAGCCCCTGTCTGCCTCCTAGGAGGGGCTACACATGTCCACCCCTTTCATCATGGGCCAACCCCAGGTTTGAATTGTTTTCCCAGCCTTGCCTCAGCATAACTGGTCCTCCTACAGCCTTTGCCCATTGGTCCTCATTCTTCTTCTGGGCACTACTCAGAGAAAATCCATTTCCCTCCCACAGAGGCCTTTCAAATATTCAGGATGGCCAACATATCCCTGCTGAGAGCTCTTTTCCTGAAGGCAAGTGTTCCTGGTTTCTTATAATGTAAATAATTCCTATTTGCCAGGTAGAGGGTCACAAATCTTTTATGTCTTATACTCTGGTTATTAATTAATCCTTGCTAATGGTCATATTACTATAATCATCCTTTTTTTACTGAGGCTCAGAGAAGTTAAGTCATTTGCCCAAGGTCACACAGCCAGTGAGCCACATCAGAACAAAGATCTGCCTGATCTTGGAACTGCTGTCCTTCCCTTTTTACTTTACAAGATAACTACTATTACTACTACTACCACTACTACTAATAATAGTTATTGTGTATTCAGTGCCTACCATGTGGAAGTTTGAAAACATGATCTTTAATCCTTATCACAGTCCTACAAAGGTACGCATAGTTTAATTACCATTCTTTTCTGAAGTGAAGAAATGAAAGCTAAGAAGGGTGAACTAATGCGCTAGTCACACAAGTGAGCAGGTGCAGGGCAGGGAGGGAACTAAGTCTGCCTGGTTCCACTGTGCCCCAGAGGAGAGGCTCTGGAACTGCACGAGGCCAGGACGTGCAGAGCCCCTAAGCCAGTGTTTCTTAAGTGTGGTGCCTAGGCCTGCAAGATCAGATCACCCAGATCACCCAGATCCAAAACAGACCCTTGTGCCTCCCTGCATCTGAGCACACACTCAAGTAGCTTGAGGAGCACTGGGCCTGTCCGGGAACTCTGCCATGGTGGCATCACTGATTTGCTGCAGTGATGAGACTGCAGCTATCATCAATGGAAGATTCTAGCTATCTGGGGCCCCTCTCCTACATTCAACCTCCTCCTCCCCTCCAGACCGTCTGCCCTGCCTCCCAAGGCCCACCGAAGGCCCAGCCCCTCTGCCCCTCGCCGTTCCCTGTGGGTCCCCAGCATCACCTAGAAGGATGCTGTTCTCTTCTCACATTGCTCCCCTGTGCTCACTTGGAGAGAGGAGACTGTGTGTGGTGCTCTGTGGCTGCAGGTAGATGGAGCACAGCCCTGCTCTCAGGGGTCTCTGAATAGACACCCTACCCCAGCTCCCTCAGGCCTCCCACAAGCACTGACCCTACAATATGGTCCTCACCTGGAAGGCCCAGGTCTCCTTTGTCTCCCTTTATCCCAGGTGCCCCTTTGGGGCCAATGAGACCACCATCGCCTTTGCTGCCCTTCTCTCCCTGGGGTCCTGGGGTGCCTGTAAGAGAACAGTCAGTGAGGGGTCTCGCTTTGTCTTCCTAGAGACAGAATGCCAGGCAAAGGCAGAAAGCACTGGGGGGGCAAGGGCAAGGGGTCCCCAGAGGATGTGTGGGGTGCTAGCTCAGGTGGTCTTGATGAGGTACAGTGGGGCTGGAGGACTGGGGTTGTGTAGACAGGATGGGAAGGCTGCCTCAGTGCCTCGGGTGAAGCATGAGGGTCCCAAGCAGAGAAAGCACAATTACCAGGAGCTCCCTGCTTCCCTGGTGTGCCCTGGGGTCCATGGGGGCCTGTGAAAAAGGAAAAAAGAACAAGAAGAGCTCACTGTGGCCTAAGCTTGTCCATCAGCCAACATTCTAGAACCCCTAAGATGGGCAAGGTGCCCAGTAGATCCCCCTACTTTTCGATCTCTCTTCCCCCCCTTCTCTCTCTCTCTCTCTCACACACACACACACACACACACATGTTAGCATATGGAAGATCCCGGGTGGTTCCTGACAGTGTTTGCTCTTGCTGTGGTTTGAGCGTGTCCCCTACAAAGTCCCTATACTGACAGCCTGGTCCTCAGTGTGGCCGTGTTGGGAGGTGTTTGGGTCATGGCGGATTAACACTGTCTGGTGGGAGTGAGCGAGTTTTGCTCTCTTGACACTTCTCTTTGCACAGTGAAGCTTTCTCCTGTGCTTGTTTTTTGTTCACACAGGCCTGGTCCCCTTCCATCTCACCCATGTTTTGACATGGCACAAGGCCCTCACTAGAAGCCACCTGCTATAGCCACCTAGTCTTGAACTCCCCAGGCTGCAGAACTGTGAGCTAAATAAACCTCTTTTCTGTATAAAATGCTCAGTCTCAGGTACTCTGTTAGGGCAACACAAAACAGACTAAGCAGCCATCTTCCCAAAGGCTGGGACAGCGCCTGGGAGTGCAGCCTGCCTGGCAATAGAGGACAGACTGCAGAGATAGGTGACCCTGTTTGAATCATACCCTGGATCATAACTAGGCCCAGGCTCGTGTGTGGAGGATAGACTTGAGATGCTGGGTGACCCTGGGGGAGGTGGGGAGGCAGAGTGGGTGGCTCCATGGAGGGAAGTGAAGGATGAGTTGCTGGATTATAGGAGATTGTCCTGGTTTCCTCGGGCAGGGGAGGCACAGATGGGATCTGGGCTCCACACTCCCTACAGAGCCATGGCAGGCTGCTTCGTGGATCTGCTCTATGTATGTGGGTTCCAGGGAGGATTTGGGCTGAAGGAAGTGTTGCCTGGCTTTAGTTAGATTACATAGCCCTGCTGTGAGCCCTCTGTTAGAGCATGCCCTCGAGTCTTGCAGAGAGGGGGAGACCCCACTCTGTTCCCTCCTGGAGGAAGTGACTGGCTCAGGCTTTTGGCTTGCCCTTTTAAGCAGTTCTCAGTGGCTCCATTTTGGTGAGTGCTGGGAGCAGGGGAGAGAGATCGACCCCCCTCTGAAGAAGCCTGGCCTGTTCTAAGCTCCCACAGCCTGAGTGTGTGTGAGTGTGTGTGGTTGTACAGGAGGTGTATGAGTGTATGTGAACACATGTGAGTGCATATGTGTGCACAAGTGTGATCATTGTGTGAGCATGTGAGGGAGAATGTGCACAAACGTGGGCTCAGGCGTGAGTGTGTGTGTGAACACGTGGGTGTGTGTGCGCCTTCAATGCCCCACAAACTTTCTTTCCTATTGTTTGCTTATCCTGCCCCTTTGAAACCTTCTTGGAAAACCCCTGCTGGAGACTTGGAACAATCGGCTCTTTGGGATCGTTTCTGTTAAATTCTTTTTAAAAATCAGTTCCTGGAAGAAGAAATGTCCTACAAACAAGTTTCCTTTCTGTAACTAGTGTTTTCTTTCTACCTCAGCAGCCTGGAGGCTCTATCACTCCTGTCCCTTGTCCCTCCTTACAAATCCTCTCATCTGTTCTTTCTGGTAAAGGCCTTACTGTTTTTGCACCTTTATATCTCAGCGTCCTCGATGCCTTTGGGGATTTGGAAGTCAGAGGGCCTAAATGGAGGTGGGGTGGGAGCAGCAGAGTGCAGAGGACTCCATGTTTGGGTCTTCCCCCAGCCCTGGGGGGACAGCTCTGGGTCCCCCACACTCTCTGACCAGGCCATGCATTCCTGTTTATAAGGCTGGGCAGTGTTAGGCTATAGCCTAAAAAATGAAAACAATCATGTTCCCAGCAACAATCATGAGTTTTGGATCATTGTCTCTGATCCCCCCAGCAGCCTCTGCTGCTCTCTCGGGTACAGATAAAGAAACTTAGGTTCAGAAAAATAAGAGAACCTTTGCAGTGGCACAGAGTTAGTCTGTGACAGAGGCAGATGTGTCAGACTCCAGAGTCCATGCTGGACCAAGGAGTCTGATGTTCCCTAGAGAGTTCACAGCCTTGAGCTCCAGCACAGAGGGGAGCTCGGAGCCACATCTCAGCCCAGCCGGAGGCTCACACTAGGCAGGCCTTCCCTCTCCCACAGACCCCCAGGTGTCCAGACCCTGGAGGGGGGCCAGGTCTGCAGTCCAATGTGCACACCTGTGTACCCCATGTACACACCAGGCCCCTACTCACCGGCCTCTCCCTTGATTCCTGGTGGGCCCTGGGGTCCTGGGGGACCTGCAAGAGAAAGGTGAAGTCAGGGTGAAGCCTGGAGAAGGAGGAGAAAAAAATTGCTGGGCCAGGGACAGAGGCTAGTACCTGTGGCTCCATCGCGTCCCGTGGCCCCCTTGGCTCCCTTCTCAGCAGGTGGCCCTGGCAGACCTGGGGTGCCAGGAAGGCCCGGGGCCCCCTTTTGACCTGGAGGCCCTGAGGAAGAGAAGCAGAGACACCAGCAAGTCAGCCAATGGGATGAGGTGATAATGCCATTCATTCACACAGTTACTCAACTAAATTTCAATGAGCACCAAGGATGAGCCACACTGTGTGAAAGAAGACAAGACAGCTTCCTTCTGCAGGAAGCTCATGGCCTAAGAAGAAAAAGAAATGTACAGATGATGCCTCCTGAGGGAGGCTGAGTCAGTCAGGCCTGGGTTCAAGTACTGGCACTGCCCCTATAGCGAGGTGACCCTGTGAAAGTTACCCCATTCTGTTGAGCCTGAGCTAGATTACTAGACTAGTTACACAAGGCTGTCCTGAGGCCACCTCACAGAGAACCCTCATGGAAAACAAGTGAGCAAGCTTGGGGAAAATGAGACCTATCATTCTGCTACTCCCATGATTCTCTACGGTTTCCAAGACTGCTTTGCAGACAGGGGCTTACTTGAGTTGCATGACAACCCTGGTGGGCAGGACAGGCTTCCTTATCCCCATGTCACCGAGGAGGAGTGTGGCCTTCTGAGAGGCCTGGATCTTGCCCAAGGTCACACATTGAGAGGGTGGTCAGGAGATTCTGTGCTCCCAACAGCAAAGCCTGTACCCTCGGCAGAGCAGCACGATGGCAAAGTCCTGTGTGTAGGATCCATAATGTTGTATCACTTTATAGACACAAGACTGGGGCCCAGTGGATGGAGGTAGAACTGGGGACTGGAACTCCTCACTTCAGCAGAAATCCCTTTCAGACGTGTCCCAGGAAAGAGAATTGGCTCAGGGCTTGCTAATTGATTCCCACAGGCCAGCTCTGTGACCTGAATAAGGTCTGCTAGGACTACCGTGATGTCCTTGTCTGCACCTGAGAACAGTGACATCCATCTCACAGGATCCTCAGGGGAAGTGGATGAGGTCCTGGGACATGGGAGAAGCCCAGTGGAAGGGGCTCCTGCTGGGTTGTTAACCAGAGGGAAGAGGGAGGAAAGTGGGAGGGACAACACCCTCCCTTCTACAGCTGTCCCTCCAGGGGGAAGTGCCCCACTTCCTGACTCAAAGGAGCTTTCCAGGGTAAGCCCCTCGCATCACCTGCCCACCTGGGTGGCTCCCTCCCAACTCTGCTCAGGTGGGGCCGTGCAAGTTATCCTGGTCCCCATGGCAAGGACGGGGCTCAGGCTCAGAGGTTTAACTGCTCCTCCAAACCTGCCTGGATCATCTTGAGCAAGTCAGGGAGCCTCTGAGCCCCAGTTTCTTCATCTGTGAGGTGGCATCTGTCATTGGATGGCAACAGCTGCTCAGGGCCAGCACACGGTGTCAGCAAAGCACAGAGGAAAATGCTCTGTGTGCATCTGGGTGCCCCTCCGCGCCCAGCCTCTCTCCCCTCACCTCACCCTAGCTCTGCTCCAGGCATATCTAGAAGGCTATAGCATATCTAGTCTGCTTCCTTCTTTGTGTGTCTTCTGAGCACAGGGTCTCCGCACATGTGGGTTTCTCTGCCTGGCCTGAGGGCAAGCCGGGCCCCCTCTAGGCCTCTTTCCCCAGGGCACTGCCCCACCCTTTCAGAGCAGCCACCAGGGCTGTGGCCACATCATGCTCCAAGTGACGGAGCATGATCACTCTTTGGGGACAAACAGAGGTCCCTTGAGGATAGGGCTCTCCTCTGTCTTCTTTTGGTCTGGATTCCCGATGCCTGTGGAGGTGCCTCATCCTTATGGAACTTTCAACAAATATTTGTTGGGAGGAAAGAAAGGAGGTGGGAAGAGACAGGGGAGGGGAAAAGTGGGTTCCTCCTGCTTCTCCCAGAAGCTGGGCTGAGGTACAGTGTCCTCATCTGTGTTCTCAGAAGCCTGGCCCACAGGGCAGTTCCACAAGTAGGCTGCCTTGGGTTGAGCCAGTGACCTCCGAGCTCTGTCCCCAGCCCTCCTCTTTTGTTTATATATTTGTGTCAACAGGGCTTTATAGCCAAACGGGCCTTTAGGAAGCTCTGACCAGGCAAGGTGGGGCACAAAGAAGGAGAGAGAGACCACAGCCTGGTTGAGCCAGGGTGCTGGGTGGGGAATGTGGAGAGGCAGGTGGTGTCCATGGAGAAGCCCAGACTTCTGTAGCCCTGCCCACTGGAATTGGCTTCCCACCTCTGGTTTCTGGGGTCCAGAAGAGAGAATGGGAAGAGAGAGACAGAGACAGAGACAGATACAGAAAGAGACTGGGAAAGACAGAGAGATAGAGTTGCGATTTTATGCAGAGGGCCAAAAAAAGTATACACATTTTAAGAGATGAAATAAAATTGTATTAAAATGGTGATATTCAAGATACACCAATAACAGAAGATGGTACCAGTCACTGAGCATCTCTTGCAATTGCAGAAGTGAAATGCGACTTGAGCATTATCAATTTAATACAGTTTTTTTCTTTCTTAAAATGCATATACATTTTTTGCACCCTCTGTATATATATAATCTGTACACACCTATATATTCACATGAAGAGAGGAGGAGGAGAGAGAGAAAGAGAGTGAGAGAGAGAGAACAGCCAGAGGGAGCCTGTGTCCCTCCTGCAGTGAGGGTGAAGTGGGCTCCGAGTCTGGTCCTGGAGCACTGTGCCCAGTGGCAGGGCAGATTTGAAAGTCAGATTGAACCCATTGGGTTGAGAAGAGGCTTAAGCATTGATGCTGTCAGCTAAAGCGACAGATTTGTTGAAATAGTCTGTCCTTGGAAGGGAGGAGCTGGAATTCACCAGGGGCCATCCAAGCATCAGCACATCTAATCTTCCCAACAACAATAAGGTCACAGCAACTGCCTGGCACATGTTAGTAATTACAACCATGTCGTTGAGCACTACTCTGTGCTGGGCACTGGGCTAAGCATTTTTACCATTAGTTTTATTCTCATACCAATCCTACAAGGTCCTGTCATTATCCCCATCTTCTAGGGGTGGGCACAGAGCTCAGAAATGTTAAGTAACTTGCTCAGGACACTCAGGCCATTGGGGAAAGACCCGGAGTTTCCCCTAGGTCTGCCGCTTATCTGGGGTCAATCCTCCTGCCACTTTGTAAGACTGCCTTAAAATGATCCCTGGCTGGTAGTGTGATCTGGACCATCTTTGAAAAATTATGAGACCAAAGAGTTCAACCATTTCACTGACGGAATGGTCCAAGCCTGTGAGTGAAGTGTGTGTGCACCACAACACACA